CAGGGATGGGGCCTCCACCGCCTCTCTGGGCAACCTGTGCCAGCGCCTCACCACCCCCACTGTAAAACATTTCTTCCTTATAGCCAGTCTAAATCTATTCTTCTTTAATTTAAATCCATTACTCCTTGTCCTGTCACAACAGGCCTTGCTAAAAAGATTCTCCCCATCTTTCCTGTAGGCCCCCTCTCAGCCCTGCCAGGCCGCACTCAGGCCTCCCCGCAGCCCCCTCCTCTCCAGGCTGAGCACCCCCAGCTCCCCCAGCCTGGCCCCGCAGCAGAGGGGCTCCAGCCCTCGGGGCATTTCTGTGGCCCTGAGCTCTTCCTTCTCTAAAAAAACAGGTCCACGTGGAATCAGCTTGTGAGCAGAAATTCTGCCATTTTTGCAGAGAACATTTAATTCCAAGTAGCTGAAAATACTGCGTGCAATGTCTTTAAATAGTGCTATGCACTTCACAGCCAGAGCTGTGCTGCAGTCACCGAGCAGCGGTGACATGACACCATCCCCACTCCTTCAGACACTTCTCAGTGATCGGTGTATTGGGTTTAGGTGGCAAGGTGTCGGTAGCAGGAGGGTGGAGAGTGGCTGCAGGGGTGGCCTCTGTGAGAAGAGGTCAGGGGCTGCCCCCATGCTGGACACTGCTGGTTCCAGACAGCTCCACAATGGGCTGACTGCAGGACGCAGCTGAGCCCAGCAGCGAAGCCGGTGGTGCCTCTGTGAAAGCGTATTTAAGAAAGGGAAAAATGTTATATGCAGCAGAGTGTGAGGGTAAGGAAAAAAGCATGAGAAACAACCCTCCAGAGAGCAAAGTCAGTGAAGAAGAAGGGGTAGGAGTGCTCCAGGCACCGGAGCAGAGGTTCCCCTGCAGCCCATGGAGGAGACCACGCCAGAGCAGATATCTGCACCACAGCCCACGGACGAGCCCGTGCCGGAGCAGGGGGAAAGTGTGAAGAGGAAGAAGCAGCAGAGAGAAGCTGTTATGGACTGACTGCAATCCTCATTCCCCATCACCACTGCATCACTTGGTGGAAAGGACTTTTCTGAGTCAGGAATGAAGGAGTGAAGTTGAGCCTGGGAAGAAGGAGGGATGGGAGGAACATGATTTTGGTTTTGTTTCTCACCATCGTGCTCTATTTTTTAAATTGAAAGTAAACTACATTAAATTTCCCCAAGTTGAATCTGCTTTGCGCATGATGGTAGTTGGTATGCGATCTCCCTGTCTTTAATCCAGACGCACAGGATAGCACCTTTACTGCTAAATTGTTGTTATCCAAATCATGTTCCGCTTTCAGTTTGGAATATAGTTTCCTGGACTGAAGGGGGTGATGGGGCACATATATCATAGCAAGCATTCTTTTGCGCGCCGCATCATGTTCTAGGACAACGTAAAACGCCAGCAAGTTAATGCATGGCAGATAGCCAGTACTGACAAGAGTGATGAACAGTCAGGCCCTTTGTGTGTCCAAGTAACTGAATGGATTGCAAATTACCTCCCCTGATATTCTGAAGGCACATAAAAGTGAACATAAATGTTCCGCAAAAGACATATAGGGAAACTAACCCAAACTTTTGCAAAATGCCCTTTCCTCAAGCTCTCCAAGAGCCTGTCAGAGTCCAATACCTTCTGACCCGGTTCTTTTAGATATTCCACACATGGAGGGCATAATGTTTAATATCAAATTTACTTATGTGAAGATATTTGATGTTACATGGGATTTCTGATTTATCAGAATCAAATTTACTTATGTGAAGATAATTGATGTTACATGGGATTTCTGATTTAGCAGAGCGATATAAAATATACCAACACCACAATATGAATGTAAGTTACACTTAGGAAAACATCGCAATTGCAATACGCAGTTCCACCACATACCAGTACGATCCCCACTACCAGTCTCCGGAATGTTCATTGTTACGACACTGGGGACCCCTGGTAACTGGGAAGAAATACGTGACTTGAAGCCAGGTCAAGCCCATTGCTCTCTTCAAAACGCTTTTGCTAGATCTTTAGTTTTTATACTCTGTTGGACTGAGCCATGTATACACTCCCCCCATGCTGGTCTGGCTAACTCAGGGAGACATTCACGCTCTTTAATGAACTCATTAAGAGAAACATTTACACCAGCAGCTGATCCACTCAACTCTTTATCTAAACCACAGTCCATCCTCCAGTCCCCTTTGTGTTGAGATAAAGTCTGTTTCATTGCATTATTCTCTGAGCTTCACGGGCACATCACCCTTGCCCATCTCCACGGACCACTCTTACATTGTAGGGGTTTATTCAGTGAGTCGCATTCCACTCTTTGTCAGTCACAGAGCTGACATGCACGTGTAGCAGACTTTAAGCCTGAGATTTCAGCTGACGCCAGACAAAGTAAAATTATACAAAAGATATCTAGTTGTTCTCACAGGCATACCATTTGATACCTCTGGACACAACGCTAACCCATAAGCAAGCAAAACACTAGGTCTAGATGTAGCCAAAAATAGCTCACCTGACTGGATGGATACAGGATTTCAAGAAAAGAGAAGCAGGGAAGAGGGGGGGAGAACTGTGCCGCATGCACAGCAGCAGCCTGAACGCACAGAGATCTACTATGCAAAACATGATGGGGCAGTAAAGAGCTTATGGATCAGGACCCAAAGAAAGGTCAACAAAAAGCCATTGCTGCGGGGATCTGCCACAGTCTGTTCCATCGAGAAGAAATGACGACTTCTTCAGAGAACTGGAAGAAGCATCACCATCACCGGGTCCTGCTTCTCATGGAGGACTTTAAGCACATCAACAGCTCATGGAAGAGAAACGTGGCCTGCCACAACCAACTCAAGAGACTTTGAGAGTGTTGACAATAATGTTTTGATGTTGTGCTGGATAGACAAGTTGATGAAGAGGGGTGCTCTGCTTGATCTGCTACACATGCTTATAGAAAAACTGGTGGTGAAGTGAAGGTCAAATGCAAAGTCCTGCAATAAGAATGAAATAAACCCGCTCAAAACCACAGCCTAAGTGTTGGTTATACAAGAAAGCAACTCTGCAGAAAAGGATCTTGGAGAACAGGTAGAAAAGTTAAAAATAAGTCAGTAGGATGCACTTGCAGCAAAGGCACCTAACCCCATACTGGAATGCACTAATAAAAGCACAAATGACCCTCTGTGAAGTACTCCTGAGGTCACATATGGAATACCATGGTTTATTTTCCTTCCCCCACTACTCAGTTTAAGAGAGAGATGAATGAAGTGGACAAAGTACAGCAAGGCACCAGTAAGGCAGTTAAGGGGCTGAAGCACATAAGATGCAGCGAGCAACTGAGAGGGCAGTGTCTGCTCAGCCTAAAGAGAAAAAGACCAGGTGAGGGTCTAGATGCTACATAGAACTCTTGAATGCGGGCTAAAGAAAAGATAGAGCTAGACTTGCCTCAGAGGGTGCAGTTAAAGGGGTAAGATGAAACAGTCAGAAGCTGCAGCAAGGGAACTTTTAACTAGATAAGAGAAATAGTTTACACACCCAAGAGTGGTCAAATATTGGAAGAGGCTGCCCAGGCTGCGGAATCTCCATCCTGGGACAATACCCCGCTTTGAGCAGGGCACCCTGCTATATGACCTCTCCAACCTAAACCAGATCCCCAAGCCCAAAGTGTTAACCACAGTCCCTCCTGTTAGCATACTGTATTACTGGCTAACGTAGGTGCAGTCGGAAAGGAAAGATTCAGTTGATGAATGCTGCTACCGCAGGTGTTGCCAGTATGAGAGATTAAGCTTAATTTAGCAGCTGCATTTTTTGTTTGTTTGTTTTAGATAAGAGTGCTATTTTACCAAAGAAACATATATTGTTAAAAGTTGCATTAGCACGGGAGTAATGGGTTGCAAATAACGATGTATGCTTCTTAATAAAAAAAAAAAAAATCAGAAAACTGTCCCCCCTCTCAGATTTGAACATTCCTTTCTCAAATGTTCTTATTTAAGGCAACTACCAAGACGCTTGCTGCAGCGTTACACCACTGAGCTCTTTCAATTTTTAAGTCTACCATCGGCTTCCTTCCCAGGGGGAGGAGTTCTCCCCGCTTCCGATGACATGGTCTCCACAGCAACATTCCTCCAGCAACCGGACTGCACCCAGCCCTGCCGCTGCCATCCAGCCCGCCGCTGCTGCAGGACTGCAGTGGTTAAAAGCCGCACCGAAGAGCTGCAATGTCGGCAGACTTGAATGATTTGTTAGATGAAGCAAAGCATACGCCCCCTAAGCACACTGTGGGCTAAAAATGGACAACTCCTTTGTGGAAGAAGTGGCTGCATCACTGGTGAGAGAATTTCTCAGTAGAAAGGTAACTTGTCTCGATTTTCTCCAGTTAGTACAAATGAGAATGACACATGAAAACTGTTAAGTGCTAAAAGATTAAGGAATAGTGGGAGGGGGGAACTTCTTCCAGCCTTAAATCAGCTAGACCTGAACCGTAACCAGCCTGTCGGGTAAGCATCTGCACTACATCTCCCACAATGCCTTTTCATTGCTGAATATGGAAGGCAGCTTCCTCCTTGTTCGAGAGCGCCTGATTCTTACCCACACGCGCCTGCAAAACCCAAGGTTAAATCAAGAAATGCAGTTTCAGGGTTGTTTGGTGTGGGTTTTTTTTTTTTCTTGTTAATTATCTATGTGCTATTGTCCTTGTGTTTGCAAGAGGCATAAACAACTTCCCAGGACAAAGAATTTTAAAAAAAGGCAAAAGATACTGGTGCTAGAGAAACCATGTAACATGTTTTCTTTCCAGTTTTCAGTAATAGCTTGGCAGACATCAGATTTATCCGAGGGGAAGGGGACAAGGAGAAGGGGAGGAAAGAGGCCATTATACTTTTTGCAAACTTTATGCTGTAAAGGAAACTTTGTACTGTACATAGGTGTGGGGAGCGTGGGACTGAGCAGAAGAAAAGGCACCTTCACATTTCCAGGTGAAAGTACCTACCACCTTGTATTTATGTTCAATCCTAAGGAAGTACTGCTGATGTCCAGCCCAGTCTGTCCCTCAGTGTCAGGCATGAGTTAGCTTGTATCAGAAATTAAACAGCCGCTGTCATATGAAGTGCTACCCAAACCCCAATTTTCTTAATCTGTTTTGCATCCAGTCTCCAAATGCACGTTTTCAATGTTTGTGAACAAAGTTGAAACACTTGCCAGCAGAATTTCAGATGCAGAATTCATTATTTGCCATTTACTGCCAGAAGTATGAGAGGCTCAAGTCTGTCTGTTCAATCGATTGCAAAGATTTTTCAAATGAAAGACATTTACATTTCTGAGTTGGATACATGTAAATGGAACACTGAATAAAAGGAAAGGGAATGCTCTGCTGGTAAAACAGACCATACAGCTTACAACAGTAACTTGTACTTGAATGTCATACTATATAGTCCAGAGTCAAAAACAGTGGGCACTGATGATCCTTTATGCTTCTGCACAAGTGTTCCCCTGATTCCCCCAAATCTGTAATACACATCAGAGCCAACTGAGAGAACCATCCTATATTTGTCACAACTTGTCCATAGTTCCTGAAATCTGAGCCAGACAAACTATCTGCAGAAAATAAACCCTTTCTTGTAACAATAGCCCTTCAGAGAAGAAATCAGGAGTTTCTCTCTCAAAATGGTGGTCTGCTGTTGTACCACTTGAATTAGTTCGGGATCTGACTCCGATATTTCACAATAAATCAGCCTCTCCCTCCAGAAAGTGAGATGCCCATACATTTTGTCTCTGAAGTGCCCAGGTACACTGACTACAGATACAAAGTAGCTAGCGATAGGACAAGAGGAAATGGCCTCAAGCTGCGTCAGCGGAGGTTTAGATTGGATATTAGGAAAAATTTCTTCCCTTCACGGAAAGGGTAGTCAAGCATTGGAACAGGCTGCCCAGAGAGGTGGTGGAGTCACCATCCCTGGAAGTGTTCAAAAAATGGGTAGACGTGGCACTTTGGGACATGGTTTAGTGGGCATGGTGGTGTTGGGTTGATGATTGGACTGATGATCTTAGAGGTCCTTTCCAATCTTAACGATTCCTAGTTTTTACTTTCATTAAAAATAATCCATCCACCAAGCCAGGAAACATAAAAGTGCTACTCTACCCTTAACTGGTTTAGTGGTGGACTTGGTAGTGTTAGATTAATGGTTGGACTGGATGATCTTAAATGTCTTTTCCAACCTAAATGATTCTATGATTCTATGAAAGTAGTTGAGGGAGTTTGAAGACCCCAACCCAGCTGATGCTATGGAGACCTGACTGATTTCCAACCTGAGACTGATCACAATAACCTCAAGTCATGATAAAGGTTCTGAAACCTGTTCTGAACCCACCAAGAGACAGCGCACACCTGATGTTCAGACTTTGTAATTACCCAAATCAGAATCACATTCATGAAAAGCTGTATCACACCTTGACGGAAAAAGCAAACTCAGTATTTCTGGACCGATTTGAACCAGAAGCCCAGGTATTAGCAGGGGCCTTCATACAGACCAGTCAGTCTTATGAGGCTGTTTAGTAGCTGAAGTTACCTGCATGGAGGTGGTTTTTTTTTTTCATGCTCAATAATTTCCACCTGACAGGCAATATTACCACCTTATTTTCACATCTGTGGGCTGTACTAATGTACTAATGCAACATCGTACCACTGAAGTACAGGTTCTAAGGGTTAGCTTGTTACTAATTATTGCTATTTTAATGTAGCCAGAAGTTTCATATCACATCCAACAAAGTCAAGAATAAAAGCTTTGATAAGTTATACTGTCTCACGTACTCTGAAATCTGACACTTTTCCTCCTCAGGGTTTGAAGAAAACCATCACTACCATGGACCGAGAGCTTCCACGTTCTGCACTTAGCATCAACAACAGGAACGAGCTTCGAAATGTTCTACATCTGCACTCCTTGTACAAACAGAACAAGGTAAGGAAACAGATCGTGCTCCCCAAAATGTGGCATCAGATACCACAAAACTAGGCCAACCAGATCAAGATGGTAGTGCATGTCCAAACTGCAGAGAACTCAAGCTCATGTCTGGTACTGCATTGCTGTGGACACACGGACGGTTCTCTGAGGAAAGGAGAGCTTAACATTTAGGTGCGATTGCAGTTCATGGGACGAAGCTGAGAACCTGGCAGTTCGTGAACCCTTGGTACCAACTGCAACCTCCAATAAATCAGGAGCAGTTATTCACCTGAACACCTTTTCCATCATTACAGCTAAATTATTCAATTTTGGAAGTACCCTTCCATGCCCATTTCCATTTGCAACTTTATGTAAGACCTGGCAGATACAATTACACTTCTAGCATTTATTATTCTTTGAAATGTAATATAGACATCAAATATAGCAGTATTTGATGACAGGGACATCAACAGATAATTTAGAATTTTGGATAATAATGAAGCTGGTGAAGGGTCTAGAGCGCAAGTCTTCTGAGGAGCGGCTGAGGGAACTGGGGTTGTTTAGTCTGGAGAAGAGGAGGCTGAGGGGAGACCTTATCGCTCTCTGCAGCTGCCTGACAGGAGGGTGTAGGGAGGTGGGTGTTGGTCTCTTCTCCCAAGTAGCTAATGATAGGACAAGAGGAAATGGCCTCAAGCTGCGTCAGCGGAGGTTTAGATTGGATATTAGGAAAAATTTCTTCCCTTCACGGAAAGGGTAGTCAAGCATTGGAACAGGCTGCCCAGAGAGGTGGTGGAGTCACCATCCCTGGAAGTGTTCAAAAAATGGGTAGACGTGGCACTTTGGGACATGGTTTAGTGGGCATGGTGGTGTTGAGTTGATGATTGGACTGATGATCTTAGAGGTCCTTTCCAATCTTAATGATTCCTAGTTTTTACTTTCATTAAAAATAATCCATCCACCAAGCCAGGAAACATAAAATTGCTACTCTACCCTTAATTGGATTAGTGGTGGACTTGGTAGTATTAGATTAATGGTTGGACTGGATGACCTTAAAGGTCTTTTCCAACCTAAACAATTCTGATTCTATGATTCTAAGTCATTTAAAAAAAATCTCCCAGTGTAGTTGCATCATTATAGCAGACATTGTAGCATTTTTTACTTAAGCCTTAAACATCTATGGTGTTTTTTGGTTTTTTTTTTTGTTTTTTTAATGTACACAGGACACGTTTTCCAGAATACTGTTGAAAAATAGTGTAACAAGTGGGGTGGGGTGTTGCCTTATACTTAAGAGTTATCCTAAGCACATGAATAGAGTTCTGGAGTCCATGCTTGTCACCAAGTTCTGATAAAATAAACCACAAATACTGAAGTCAGGTACTAAAAATACTCGCAGTTCATTCTATATTCTTCTGAAGTTGGCCAGGTAACATTAGAAAAGGTCTGTTCTAGCACAGTTACCAGACTTTGCAATGTTTAGCTAAAATGTGAATAAGGAATGACTAACAGGTTGTTTCTTTTGTATCATGCTTACTTCATTTAACACAGCGACACCTTGGAGCTCTTGACATTCTCTAGCTGACATCCTTCAGTCTCCTGGATTGTTTGTACAGTCACATCTGGGTACACCCATAGGCAGCTAACTCTAGAAAGTAGTTAATGTGTTCAGATACTGTATAGTGTAAAAAAGAATATCCTATCTTAGGCTGCAGCAAGACTAACAAAGAGTTTCAGTAGTCACCAAGAACTTTTTCTTTTTGGATAGGCAAAGGAGAACCCACTGAAAACACTTCTTGAAATTATTACTAATTACTTCCTTGAGCACCGTGGGACTTCCCGAAGCATCAGTTCAAGTTCTACTCTGTCAACTCCTCAAAGTAAGAGCTCAACATCTCATCCACCTGACTTCTTGGATGAAGATCATGTGCGTGGGAGTGCCACTATGCTTGATGAAAGCGGAACTCAAGCCTACAGGTACAGTCTTACTTCTTTCTCTTTGCCCTGTCATGTTTTTTTTTTTTTTTTATTAAATAAGGGAAATAGTGTTAAAAGTTTTATCATTTATACCTTCAGCTACACTGTTACTAGTTATCCTAGTAACACAAAGCTTAAACTCCCAGACTATTAAAATCTCCTATGCAAGCCACCCTTCAAAAATGCTTTTATGTTCCCTGCCAATTATGAAGATTGATAATCTCAATTACATCTTTCAGTCACTGAAGCAGAAATTTGATCTTTTATGCCTTGTAAATTGGAACTACTCAAAATGAAGCATATTCTGATGAGAAACTAACCGCCTGCACTCAAACTACAGGTATATTCATGCCTTACATAGTCAAAAGCAAGGCCTACTATCTTAAATTCAGTATTGTTACAACCAGTATAGGTTCAGTTATTTCCACCTTGCGAAATACCTGAAAACAGCATGTAACCAGGTTTTTCAATTGCATTTATTAGTGCCTGAAGGCAGAGTAACAGCCCTAACTGTGCTTCAATAGAAAGCTTTTAAAACAGGGGCAAGCCAGTAGTTTACCTCCCCAGCCTTGACTCTCAGGGAATTAATCTAATTCTGTTCCTTATCCTAAACACAGTATGCTCAGTGTAGCTAAGTCTGACCATCAGTGCTCGCAAAACCCCAGCAACTTCTTCTTTACAGGGAAAGAATGCCAAGATTTTGCAAGTTGATGCTTCCAGCTGAGAAGTGACACTTGGAAAGGAGGCAGTGTGAAAGAATTAGGTGCTTCTCTTCTTCAGCTCTCTCAAGGTCCCTTCCAACCCAAAGCATTCTATGATTCTATGATTCTTCAGATACAGGAACTTTTAGCATGTTGTCAGTGATGTTCTCTCTGATAGTATCCCATCTCATGCTGCCTCAGAACTCATGCCTGCCTCATTTTCTCCCCCTGCCCTAGACACTGCAAGTTGTTCCATTCCCCCTGCGAGCCTCTGCAGTGCCTCAAAACTTTTCTTACTACAGCAGAAAAGCTTTCTCCCACAAAGGAATGCACTAACACGCCCCTCTGACACCTCACAGCAGCACCCAGCAGAGCCGGCCGCCC